GGGTTACACCGCCAGGCGCGCCGCTGACCGACAGATGGGAATTGCCCGACGGCTCGCTACCGGAAGAGGTCGCTGTCCGTTCTCGAGGAGGGTTTTGCTGCAAGAAGTTGGAACTCTCTCCAGTGTTCGCGCATGGGGCTGCGGGCAAGGGGTGCGACAACGGCTTGTGCTGGCGACCAGCCGCACCATCCACGCAGTCATCCGCGCCTGCATCATGATCAGCATCATGATGCGCGCCGCCAGCAGAGCGCGTGCTCGGCAGCATGCCGCTCACCTCCTTGCATCAACGACTGACCGCTGCTGTGGTGGCCAACGGTGGAAGCCACGCTATGCAATGCTCTCTCTAGAGGCTACGTGTCGATAAGGTAGCACGGCCGCCCTGTCCGTCCTTCACAGCACGCGCACCTCGTGCGCGGCGTGCGGAGAAATGTAGCTACAGCGCCGGGGTTTCCCCACCCCAGGAGAGCTTTGTGAATAGAACCAAAAAGAGGTTCACCGAGGGAGCGCGCGCACGCGCATCTCCAACCAATGAGGAGACAGTAAATTTAGAAGTAAAGATCCCTTCGCACGGATGGTAAAATGTACTGCCTCTGACGTCTGACGTCTGACATCTGACATCTGGCGCTCTCTGCTCTCCGCTCATCTGACACCCAGAAAAGAGGTGGGAGGGTGTGCACAGAGATACTGCGATATATATTCAGCATCGACGGCAGCTCTCCTAGATGGAGCTCAAAATACGCATTTATTGTTTTCTTTCGAATTGCCTTGATTAATATTTCTGTGGCCTACGGAGGGAGACATCCCCCGTACCACACGTTCCGCACGGCACAAAGCCTCTGCGGTATCCTAACGTGTCTCTGCTTCTAAAACACAAAATCTCCCTCCGAGTACTACCAGACGGGACGAAACTGTTGCACAGTAGCAGTCTCGGACGATTGAGCCTCCTAATGGTACGCACTACCATTCAGAAAACACCTAGTCGAAGTCGTGCGATATCTGCTTCGGGATACAACAGTACAACCCGTCGGGTAGTCCGATATCGTGCATTACGCTTATATTACCAACACAGAACTGTGCGATACGCACCCTGCACGCAATTTGACCGCGAAACGGGACGGCACAGCTCAGCCGTTGGCCTTCGTAACGCGCCGCCCGCCTAGAAAATCCCCAAATCGGAGGACTCAAAGAGTTCCTCCACCAAGAAGCACAACGGCGAGCGCTACCTCAGAGAGACCCCAGTCTGTCTCTCGGCGGTGGCGTGCAGTACCGATAGTCAGCTGTGGCGCACTATGAAGCGCTAAGTATCGTATGCCTTGCCCTTCTTGATCGCCATGTGCCCTGCGCCGTATGGTGGTTTCATGGCGTTGCTTGCTTCCCGCTGTATCTTTGAGGTTCCCGCGAAATGATCCGCATGATGCCTGGGATATCTCACTACACGGGAAAACATGACGAAAAGCACAAGGCAGAAAAAGAAAAGAAACAACAGAAGGAAAGCGACAGGGCTGCGCTGTCGTGCAGCCCGGGTTTCCAATCTCGTGGGCATCCGAACGTAGCCGGAACAGGTTGCATGGGATCAAGCGACGCGCGAGGCACGGTATCGTTTGTTTGTTTGTTTGTTTGTTTATTGGGGGGGTAGGGGGGGGTACGCGGCGCCACGTCGAATTCCTTCTTGCGGTTCGACTTACGGCGCGGCCCATGGTAGAAAAAAAAGCTACGAATTTCTGCTAGCTACGGGTCCAAACTTCGATGTAGCTAGCTGCTGCCCTACTTCCCGCGTGACCCTCCGATGCGCGGGCTGCGTGTTACACACTGTGCATTCCTCAACACGTGGCCCTTGGTCCAGTAGACACGCGCCTATCAAACTCTTGATGCAGAAGAAGCGAGGCAGCAGAATGAGAACTCCGTGAGACCTTTCTTTTTGTAAGACCCCAGAAAACCAAACCAAGACAACCCAACCAACACGCCTCCGGGGCGGCACAACAAGAACCCAAATACAACCGTAGATCTGGGAGATGTTCCGAATTCTTCCGTGCACAATAAACTACTGTCTATTCGGTCTTCGACAACAAACTTTCATTTTTTGCTGGTGCCTGTGGCTTGGTAGGTGTTTAGAAAGAAGTGTGCAGCAGTAGCCATTCTCCGAAGTGGAATGCCATGCTGTTTTGCGTATCCGTCCTTGACTGTAACTGGTTCCATGCAAGGCCCACATTCGTGTGGGGTTAGGGCTAGGCTAGACAATTTTCGCGTCATAAACGTTTTGCACTCAAGCTGCTTGCGGAAACTAGAAGAATGGAGAGCGGTATTGACAAACATGACAAAAGCGATGATATTGAATATAGACTTTTGGACACGAGCACAGCCACAGCAACCACACTACTTCACGATACAGACTGTGTACAGTGGGGCCCACAGTTAGAAAAATTCTGTTAAGAAAAAGGCTAAAATTTTCAAGGAAAAAAAGAAAAAAGCCCTGAGAATCAATCTCGGCCACAACGTAAGAAACGCCCCAATAAGAAACAGACGTGATCGTGCGATACCCCAAGACAAAAGAAACGAGGAGTAGAAGCTGGGGGAGCGCGTCCAAAGAAAGGTCCCACTTGCAATTTTTAGGTAGGCAGAGAGTAGTCATTTTCGCGGCGCCCCCCGCGCGCCAGTGCCGTCGCGGGCTGCGCTACCCACCGCTGCCTTACTTCTGTACTGCCACAACCCCCAATGTTCGCCACACCGAGCTGTCGGTTCAATGCTGCATGAAGGCTTGGTGTGTTGGTTTTTTCTTCGCCATCAGAAGTAATAAGAAAACAAGAGAATCAGCAGGATGCGACAGCCCAAAGGAATAAGAAATCCTTTCTAGGAAATTGGCCGACTTCGGCTGGTCCTTCTGCCCAGAATAAGAAATTGAGGCTGAACCCGATTTTGACGTTTCTTATCTCCGGGCCCTATCTGTACATCAGACTAATTTGGGAACAAGCACCTGTGTTGCCGCCCAGAACAGCGGGGATTGTTTCTCCATCAGCACATCATGCACTCTACTACATACATACAGTACTACTACCCAAGCAACCTATTATGCCCAAACTGCCAAGAACTCAAACCAATGGGTGCCGAATAAAGGGTCTTCGCTTTTTGCGGAGTCCCAAAATAAAATACAACATCAGTACATGTAACAGCGGGCATCATGGGACATCGACCTGTTTGCTGACACGCTCGCGGATCCGCTCTTCCTTTTTGGGGGCTGGGGTCTGACGGCCAGCATCTCCTGTGATGTCACCACCTCCCCCTGGTTTGGGGGCCCTTACACGGCCTAGAGATCGTCGGGCCCCCCTTCCTACCCAACGGGCCCACCGTCAGGGGGCTCGACCCTGTTTAACCAACCCTATTCTATAGGCTTGCGGACCCTTCGGGTCCATTTTATTTTCGTGTACCTTTTTTTGTTAAGTTAGCCTGTGACCACGGGAATCGACCCCGTCAAGTGTTAGACTAGTGCGGACAGAATAAGGAGAAGGTACTGGGCAGAGAGAACGGAGCGGTTTTTAATGCAAAGGCAACAACAACAACAACAACGACATTCTGACACATCGTTACGGACACTCCGATATCTAACGGTTGGAGCCCTCCCTCTGACACTTCGTATCCTCCACACTTGTTGTGTACTTCGCTACCACATGTGTAGCTTGTCAGGTACAATAGCTCACTCGGGGCTCTAGCTTGTGACGACCGAAGATCGATTCTTTGACACGCAGGAAAGATGGGGCATGTCTGGGAATTCGTGGTACGGTGGGGGATACATGTTTCTGGTAACCTAGGTGTCCCCGGCTCCTGCCCTTAGGAGATTGTTGGCAAGGCGTTCCCGATTTTCAGTTTTTTTGTCCTGATATACTCTATCTCCCGCTGTTAAGTAGTGTTGATCGTGGCCATGCTTCACATACTACAGCGGCTGGGATTCGCTTGGATGGAGGTCGAAACGGGGTCCCCAACTAGTCCGTACAACACTTAAATATAGTCCAATCATCCGAAATACTAGTATCCTAGACTTTAACCTACGGAATAGAATGGCATGGGAGGCGTAGTGTTTCTGCAAGAAAGAACAATGGCAGGTGGGTCGGGCTCGAAAAAAACGTTTCGAATTTGGGACTTGTCCAAAGTGCCACGTTCTAAGGCATACTACACATATTTTCCCGAAGAAACGACGAAGAAATTTGAGCAGACCTTTTCCTTCATTTTGCTCGAAACAATGTACCCCTGTGTTCGACAAAATTTGCGTCATATTCCCCACAGATGTACCTTTCATCAGCCAAGGGTAGCACACATCTTTCTTTCCCTACGAGACACAACGAGCGCCGGGCAACGGCCTCCTGCAGCCTCCACGCCGTTGTGTGTGTGCGAAAGTGTCGTTGGGCGAATCCATGAAGTATAGTAATGACTGGCTGTGGTGCTCCCTCTGTCAACTACGGTCTACAACAATGATCGAGCTCCAGGCCTCAGGTCAACATTGAGGTAGCTAAGCCTTCCCCGATAGGCCAATATTGATAGATACCCCGCTTGTCACTAACTCGCACATATTCGACTGATCCCTCTAACAGGAATAAGTTCCACACCCTTCACGGCAGGCACGACTTCCACGTCAGAACGAGGCACAGGCCCGGCCCCGCCCTGATCCCCGTCCCCGACCCTTGCCTTCCGCGCGCCGCCCGCTTTTCGAGTGGCATCCCCGCGACTTTGCGTTTCTGGTGCTCGGGCAGCGTGGAAACGTCTCTTGCTGTCTGAGGCCTCGGCGTCGTTCTTGAGCCTCTTCCTGTTTCGGAAGGGTGGTCGAGGTGGGTAACCGCTGTGGTTGCTGCTGCTTCCATCGCCTTCTCGCTGCTCGATAGCTCCCAAGAAGGCGCCGAAGCTCTTGCTGCCATGCAAGCCCAGCTGTTTGTGTCCCGTGTATCGCGCAGGCTTCCCGCGGCGGGTTCCACCTGGGCGTTGCGGTTGTTGTACTGGTGTGTTGGGCTGTGGGTTGTGGTGCGTTCCACGGAATTGTGGATCCGCTCCGACGCATTTGTTTGATGCTGTGTACCCAGCGTTCGTTCGTTGAGTCAAGAGAAATATAGGGTTGTTGCATCGTGTGATGCAATAGACATACGCATACACGTGCCTTTTTTTGGTGTGTATTCGGGACGGGTGGGAGAGAATTGTAGGTGACATTTTGTCAGTTTCATGTACGGAATCTTGCCGCGGTTTGTCCATCGGTTCCGTGATCATTCCATGTAAAGTCTTGATTTCCGGGCGTGGAGAAAGCTAATCGCACCGCTCCTTGCGTTGGGGGGGAATAAGCAACTCAACAGTCTTGGAAATGACAACCGGTGTTCTCACCGGCTCCTTTTACCCCAATGCCCAGGAAAGGTGGCCCTCTCCCGGCAGCACTCTCATCCCCCAAACCCGCGGGTAGTCCCAGGTTTGGAAGGGACACGGAACCCGCCAGGGCTCCGGAGGGCTTGGTGTTCTCGACCCCCGAGTTCAAACCGTAAGGTTGATGACCTTGAGGCCGGTCTCCTTGCTGCGGTTGTTGTGTGTCGCGGTCATCATCGAGGCCTTGGGATTCTGCATGAGTGCCAGCACCATGGCCGCCTAGGCGAGAGTTGTTCCCCATTCCCGCAACAGTTGGGAGCCACCTAATACGAAATCGGTATTCTCGGGATGAAAATGTCCGATTGGCGATTCCCAACGATTGTTTATGGCCAGAAGCTGCGGGAACATTGGGTATCGAGCTGAGGGAATATTGGACGTCATGTACTTCAGTATACGGTGGGCACTCGAGTGTGATCGAAATGCACGGGAAGGAAATATTCTGTACTAAGCGCGTAGTCGCATGCCAATCACTCGACGAAATCCTCACCCGGAGTCCACGCTGTACTGCATGCTGTCCCCAGATGCGACGCTCAGCCCCGCGAGTGACTTGTCATCGCCCCCCCCGTCCTGGTGCTCTTCTTCTCCCCCCATTGGGTTGCGTCCGGCCCCCCAAGTCATTGAAACCACCGTTCCTGCGAGATCGTTTGCCCCAAGGTCTCCTGGAGGGTGATGATGATGTTTCGCGAAACTTGGTTCTCCACGTGGCAAGGTGGACCAGCCCGATGAATGTGACTTCGTCACACTCCCGCGCTCTTGCCTTTGTGCCAGCAGAGAAGTGTTACGGCCTTCGTCTGCAGGAGCACTTGGCCGAGCTCCTTGCGAGGAATTCCCGGCAGCACTAGTGGCAGCAGTCCGGCTTTGTGAATTCACGAGCTGTTTTTGACACGACTGGAAGATCGGGTCTTCTTCACCACCCTTTGTTGGAGAGGCGAAAGTAATAAGTAGAATATATGGGAAGGCGGGGGGTGTTTTACGAGCCCAGATGAGTGCGCCTTGGGGAAGTCCGGCGGAATATTTGTTGGAGAAACAACACGAAATGCCAGATCGTATCGACCACGCTGCGGGCCAAACATTATTGTTTTTCTCGCAAGCAAACACGACATATCTCTATCGCGAGCCACACTTACATAACTCATCGCCAACCTTCCTACAGTGAGCTTCGCATGCCTTTCAACATTTGTACCGAAAATATGATGTTGCCATCTCACCACCCTGGCGGCAGCTTGGCCCAGCGCCCTCTTGGCCGCTCTCAGCACCGCTCTCCCCCGGTGCGCGTCCTGCTTGCGCTGGGCCCTCCACTGGAGGCGGGCGGCGTGATTTGCTTTGATGATCTCCAGCATCTGCATTGTGGCGTGCCAGAGAAGCGCTCAGGACAGTGGCGCAGGTTGGCGCCCATGGTCACGGTTCGGCCTACAACCAACAGGGCCATACTACGGGAATCGTCTGCTAGGATAAAGACATACAGAAACATGCATCGTGATTTTTGACATGCTATTAGCGATATAGTGAATCCAACACCAACGATGGCAACCCACATTACGGCCTGATATACGAATACTAAGAACGCCCGTGTTTCAAGTTGAATGCAGCTTTCCGCTCACAACCTACCGGCATTGCAATGATGTTGAAGTGCTGCCGGCGAAGGACGAGCATCTCAACGCTGGTCCGCGCCACAAGGCAGAACTGCTCAGTCACGGGGGGGGCAGCGGCCGAGGACTTGCTGCCGCCGTTAAAGTACGTCAGAACGCCTGACTCTCCGAAGTACTCCCCGCTCTCCAACACGGTCAGTACTCTTCGAGCCGTCTGGAAACGTTTCAGAAGCCAAATTCGACAAAAGCAAACGCGTGGATAGCGTGACGGGCACGTTAGTGCGTAACAATCGAGCACGGCAAAACCGTCGCCTTCCATGAATTCAAAGGATGCGCGACATCGACGCCACTTAATACATTGTATCCCGTGGATCCGTTGGGTTATACCAATGGCGAGGCTTTGTGAATCAATCAATCCAGGGAGTAGACACGTGTCGATAAAACAAAATATCATGTGCGTGGTGACGTTCGATCGCTCATCGATAATTCGTAGGGCAGCACTTGAGACAATGCGGTCGGAGTACCAACATGGATACACGGCATGCGCCGAACCAGGCTTGTATGTCCCAATACACTACGAACTGTTTGTGTGACATTCACAAGTTTGTCAGCGTTGCTTGTGACTGCGGAACAGCCCGTTGCAACCTTGTAGACAAATTCGGCTGCCCCATCTCCTTCACGCGGAATGTCTGGTTTCTCGGGCTTTCCCGCTGCCCCCCCGACGCCTCCTCCTCCCCCTCCCGACACGACAGTGTTGCATGTTTTTTTGTTGCCGTTGCTGCCGGCCGCCTTTCCAGCCCCAGTGTTCAAGGGTGCTTGATTTCTAACCCTCTTCCTCTTCAGCTGGAGATGGGCGCGACACGAAATGGTATCCCACCCACATACACGCGAAGGGTGGGGTGGTTAGAAAAGGATAACGTTCGAGCACACCCGTCGGTATTCGCACTCCACCCGGTTGCTGCCGACTGGAACTACAAGGGACAAGCCCAGAGCACACACGCGTTACAGTGTCGTCAGGTGGCAACGGTATATTGTCCTTAATGCTGTAGGAACCTGCAAATCATTCTTTCACCCTCACCAACATCTGGGCGGTCATGACACGGAATATTTTCGCTGTCTACTGGTACAGGACAGTGCAAATGGACCTTGCAGCGGAACCTACATAGAATCCGCCTGGCACTGCGCCTGCGCCGAAATACCTGGATTACTTCGACTGTTCCAGAGACAACGAAGTATAGCGCCTTGGAGGGCTCGCCGGCCCTCAAGATCATGCTGTCCTTCACAGCGTCGTCCGTCTTGACCAGCAGGGCGATCTTGTACAGGTGGTACGTCGAGCTCATCCTCATCATCGCGACGCTCCTGCCGCGACCACATTTTTGCCGACCGATATCACACACAATCAGAGAGTGGTAGTCTTGGAAAAAATTGCAAATCAATTCTCACCAGTTCATCATTTTTGAGTGTGTAGCAAAACAAGGAACCACTTGGTGGGGAATCAGTGAGCACTCAGTTCGAAAACGGCAGGTTCTGGTTGTATGAGGTTATCCGCACCACCGCGACGCGTACGCAACTAGATTGGCGTGAAGTCATCTAACCCAAGCCGACATCACACGCCTGGGTGATGCCCGCAACACGACCTATGTAGCATGAGTATGATCGCGTACAGATGAAAAATGGTTACATTCTCTTGGTGCTGCTTTGTATCGCGGTATGGAACATAGTGCAACATGGCGTCGTAGGCCATCTATGAGCGTGGCTCACAGTCATAGTAATGTGGGTTGCGTTGAGCGAATGACGTCAGAGGTCCAGAAAAAACTACCACGTCTCGCTTGCATGTGGGCAAATGCGAACTACGATGGCGATGAGTGGCGGTTGTCGGCCAGAGGCATCTGGGAGAGCTGTGAGGCTCCCTCTTCGTGGCGTTTGGAACATATTAAAAAATGTGGGTATTCGGAGTATCCAGAGATATAACCCGTCACATGGTGCGCCTCCAAAACAATTGACTGCGTGGATTAGAGT